AGGTTGAGGGTTCAGGGTTGCCTTGCAACACAAGGAGGCCATGTGGCAACCCTTGAAGGAACTCTTATAGCAACCCTTTGATGGACCCTCTGCTACAATCCTCTGAGCTGCAGGCATGTTGAAGTGAATGCTATCAGGATCCTTGTCCATGAAGTTGGCCTGTGTCTCAGGGCCCTGCTAGTCCCACCACCCCAAAGAAGAAACCCTAAACCCTAAACTCTAAACCCCTAAACGAAAGCAGACCCTAAGCCTTAAAACGTACTAGTAGGTATAGTTCAATGGATGCTCAGTACTTAACAGCCAGGTATCAGAAATCCGAGTTTGGGATTTTTAGGACTGGGGGCCTAGGGCCTAGGGCTTCATGCTTCGTAGTGTTCTAGGATCTGGAGTTCAGGAGTGTAAGCGGGGTAGTTTGGTTGGAACTATCCAGTGGAAGATTGTAGGTAAGCGAGGCTGAGCGGGCAATCTTGTAGCAACTCCGAATAAGATTCCAATCATGATGAACCAAACCCTAAAGCCCGACAAAGCTCTGAAGCCCCAAACAGTGCGCTGAAACCTCATTCTGTAATAGTCAAGGACCATCCCAAGCCCAAACCCCAAATCCGAAACGATGGATAAACAGCCGAAGCCCGAAACTCCAAACCCTCTCAACCGCTGAAGCCCTGTAAACCCGAAGCTCTAAACCCCTGATCCTTGTTTCCGAACTCGGGCCTTGATGGTCTTGCACGCAGCACCCAGGAGGTCCCCGCCCGTTGGCCCGTGATTGATAGGGAAAGCCTGGCCGGTTGAGTCTTGCAGTGAAGGGGTCCCATTTGAGGGTCCTGCTATACCGGGACTATTAGACCGTTATGAGAAGGACCAGTCCTCCTATTTAGGACTATACTAGGGTTGCTTCTGTCTGGAATTCCACTTCTGCCGCTAGTTGGGCTGTCGGCTTAGTACTAAGAACTCGCGGATTTTTTGAGTTGTTGGAGCCTAAGATCTAGGAGTTGAGGCTTCGAAGCTTGAGGCTTCAGGATTTTAGGACACTTCGGAGACCTGAAAGATGAGTCTACGGAGAGAGTGTGTCTGTGTGTGAGGGGGGAATTCTGGGCCTAGTTAGCATCTTCCATAGGGCCAAGACTGTTGGGCTAAGGATGACTGGATTGAATGTGTTCGAGGTTTCTGCAATCCTGATCCTTCACAGCATGGGTTTCGCTAAGCGACCGACCGCACGCCCAGCCCCTTGCGGTTTGACGGCCGCGGCCTATACCACTTATACCTGGGCCTGAAGGCATCCGAAGTTCTTTGACTGACATCTTCAGATCCCCGTATTGCCTAGGTCACTGATGAAGCGGAAGCAACTAGTGTAGAGTTTCGAAGGGTCTTGGACTACAAAACTGCAGTCGGATCCTAAGGAGTAATTTGCTAACTGTTCAGGTCCTTTCGCCAATATAGCCTGAGAATTACGAAGTTGCTTGTCTAGAATGCTCGCGGGCAACTGTTGGGAGGGTTTCGTACAACAGTTGGAACCCCAACTGAGGAACCAGAGTCTGCAAAGCTTGAACAGTGTTGACCCGTGATACAATGGCTCGACGGGTTTAGGTGCATGATCTTCGTGTCCAAGATCTTAAGCTTGCCGTGTGAGGGTAAAGCAGAAAACCGAAGAGCAACATGTGTTGCCCTGCCCAACCAACGAGAAGCTTGTCCGACGAGATACCTTGTTGCCATCAAGCTCAAAAAGGTCCCCATCTTTCCTGGCGAACGAGTCGTTAAAGTTTCTTGGTCAAGGACAAATCGGTTCAGGTCTTGAGCTAGGGGTCTAGCGAGGTTCGGCTGCATGGAGTCAATTTCAGGAAAGGAGGATAAAACCTCCGGTTCCCTTATAGACTGACAGCTTTGGGTCGACGACCTTTACATTGAGGATTGCCTCAAACATTTGTGCCCGCCCAACCCTAAGACAACAGAAGTCCTAAACCGGGACTGCTGCACAACAGTTGCAGCACAGAGCCACACGGCGCCACGTGTTTGTTTAGTGCTCTGGGCGGAGTAAGCAACAACGCATGGCCCAACCTGACAGAACAATCCTACCGCTGGATGAGCTTACATACTGAAGCCACCTGGCAGCCAGCATAACTAGCTATGTGGCTCATGGTTCGACTGATGTAAATCATTCTGAACAAATAGCTACAACAAAACCAAACGGAGCCAATCAGATACAGTACGATACCGAAACCATTGAAACGTCTCCTCTTCCCAAACGAGGGATCGAACAACTGCACCAGTGGTCCGATTACACCCTCATGCACAGTCTTAGTCTTAAGCTCGTGCATACACATACACACACACACATGTATACATGCATACATACATACATACATACATACATACATACATACATACACATGTATTTATACACATGTATATATATATATACATATACGCACATCATGTATATGTATATACATATTTGTTTTCATGTATCCTTGTGTCTGCTTGCGGGCTTGGAGATTTCCTAGCCAAGCGAGCTATCTGGCACTCCACGAAGCAGATGAAGTGCCTGAGATTGCATGGCATGGCTAAAGGCTGGCATTGTCGTGTGGGCTGTATTCTAAAGATTGAGATTTGGGGACTATAAGCTATTTATACACTAAGCATTGACCAGACCTTAACCTGACCTAAACCTCGCTCAGGCCTAAGCCATACGACCTCCCCAAACCCAAAACCTTCAAGCTTTCCGAAGCCCCGCACTGTACTATACCGTGCTATATTATACTATACCATACCATGCTATACCATGCCGTGACGTACCATACTACACCATACTATACCATACTGTACCACACTGTACCGTACCATGCCATGCCGTACCATAGCAGACCATGGCCTGGCTTGGCACAGCATAGCGTGCCATGTTATGCGATACGATACTCTACTATGTTCTACTTGCTTTTCTATACGATGCTATACCATTCTGGACTGTCTTAGGCTTCGGCCCTTCGTCTAGGGGACACACGGCTAGGGCGGAGAACTTCGGATTTAAGCCTGCCGGCCCTGGGCTTCAAGCCTGATAGACTGTAAGGCAACAAAGAATGGACATCTCCAACCAAGCTTTTGTGTCGAATCATGTTGCTCGTGGATGCAGTTGGCTAGGGACTTCAGAAAGGTTGGAGGATTCTGCTGGCAGAAGGTATAGGGAACCGTAGTATGAACCATATCGCGGTCTCCTCATATCACACACCTCTACATACGTTACCACCCCTGCGCAACTTACCCATCGTCCATCGTTCCAAAACCCCATATGACGGAAGTCGAGGGCCAACGTCCTGAAGCAAACCGACAGCAGCCCTGCAAAATCCTGGGAGGTGATGGTGGTGGTAATATAAGGCTCGAAACAGCTAGCGAAAATGTCCACTTTAGCCCTTGTATAGTTGTACTGTATTATAAGGAAATCAAACCCCTTTTCTAATTATGCATGCCCGAACACGACTTCAACACAATAACTTACCATAATTGTCTCGGGTGCAGCAGTCGCCGGATCTGGGGGGTTGCAGAGTTCTGTCTGCAAACATGGGAGTGCGGCTATGGGTCTGCCTTGGGCTGTCTGGCTTAGCATCTCTTGAATTGCGAGCAGTGTTTAGGAGTCTAGCGCTTAACGTACGTAAAAGTCTGAATGACCATCAATACTGCCACCTCGTGGCGGCTATATGTATAGTGATCGCCAAATTTGAGACATAATCGCACATCGTGCTAGAAATATTATGAACCTTCTGCCCTGCAATTTTCAGGGAAAAGGCAAGCAAACTCGCAGCCTGGTCCAAGCCTGCCAGGCGGTCTAGGTAAGGTCGAATGAGAGTCTGACGTCTGTACGTGTCAGACTTGAACCACATGGTTTTTGTTGCGTGCACGGGTTAGTGCGCCCAAGCCTTAACGAGAACACAGTTCTCGGCGAATGTCAATCCTGTAGTCCCTGATGTGCAACTATTTCATCCAGGGTCAGTGTGGTCGGCGTCCAGGCGAGCTCACCGGCAAGCTCAACACGGCTGATTTAATATGCAAGTTTCTATTCGTAGTGGACCCACAAGTCGTGGTGCTTCTGGATCGTCCGAGTGGCATCTTGCATAAACCCTAAACCCTAAACCCAAAGCCCAAGACCAGCACGTTTTAAGCTCTTGAACCTTATGCGGCTTTATGCAACGACTTCCGACTTCTATCATTAAACTTATCATCTCTGATCCTCCCCCAGAGGTTGGGGCCCTTTGTAGATTATATGGGCCGAAAACACACATTTGGGAGGACTTTTGGTGGCGTGTTCCACGGGACGGCTGGGTTTAAAGTACTCCTACACTGGTGAAAGTTCTACACAGAGCTCCTTGTCCTTGCCTATCAGCTCACCGACCATGCTGAACTTAAACCCTGCCCGAAACCCTGGAATCCCAAATTCCATGCCTGTAACCAGCAAGACCTCTGAAACCCACCAGATGCAGCCCGACCACGCATCGACATCTGCATCTGCCTCGCAAGTGCCACAAAGAGGTCATCGAACAAAAGCTTGGGGTTTATCCACGTGAGCAAACAAGAGCTACCAATCGTACAGCGACCCATAGAAATCCTGAGGCATCCCTCGACCAGGGCTGGCAGACAAAAGAATCCACTAACCACGCCCAGGAAACAGCCATATGGAATCGGCTCGTTTCTAGGCTAGACTCGGTCTGTCCGTCTCTCTCTCTCTCTCTCTCTCGCTCTCTCTCGTGCTCCTCCTCCCCCTGGACGCCTAGAAGTAGTGGCGTCTTTCTTTGCCTCTATTTGTCTTGCTCGTCTTGTGCTTCGCTCACCCGATCGCATGCTACTGTAGTCCGCTCCTTTTCGAGCTATGCGTTCGTCGTCGTTGACCCATTGGTGCAGTCAACCAGACCAGGCCGACTGAATACACTGGAAGCTCGTTTAAGCCATGGGACCGTGCTCCAGCAGTGCCGAAAGCTGAGTTCCCGAAAGCATCCAAACCGCTCTGTCGCCAGCTATCATGTGGAATCATTCTGCTGGTCCTTCCAGGCTGTAAAGACATAAGCTGCCAATACCACAAGCTGCACTTGCACGGCGTTGAGCACACCCTGCACGCCGGCTGATGGATATGCTGCAGTCACCGATGCTGCCAGGCCAATCTCATAGAGCCCATAGAAAGCGAGAGAGGCATCTCCAAAAGGCCTAGAGGTCAGCCTCGTTGCAGCAAAAGCAATCGGACCCGTTGCCTGGCAGCGAGTGGAAGAGCAGAAATTCACACCAAACCCATCGCACGAAGTTTCGTCAGATTTATACGGGAACCGCTACTGAGGAGATAAGACTACATACAAGTAACTAGCACAGCCTAGTCCAATTGCAAAGCGAAGTGCACACCAGAACAAGGCTGCAAGTTGACCTGGCAGTGGGAGCTCCTGAAAGCTTGGCGCACCAGCCATGGCAGGCAGCAGGTTCGGTCCAAGCAGATCGAAAAGATGCGCGATGCCTGCCGCACCATAACAAACGCCCATGAGCTTCTGAAACTCGTCTGAGTTCGTCGCAGGAGAGGACGAGCTAGCACTGGCAAACCTGGCCCTGCTTCGCGCAGAAGCAGCAGCTACGAATCCAACTGGCAGGGACACCCCGGCCAAGGACGTTCCAGTAGGACTGGAAGCACTCTGCCCTGACCTTCCAGGGCGCTGGAGTCTCACGTCCTCGCAGCGGGGCCATTGTGGGCTCGGAAGGAAACAGCCAGAGATGGCCCAACACCAGCCCAAAGCAGCGCAAAGCAAAGCAGGACAGGAGGATCTGAAGCGAGCCATGGTCACACCAATTGGAGAGCTTGATGCAACACTAAAGCTCCAGGTAGCTACATGAAGAATGTGTAACCGGCTGGGGCAGTCAAGTAGTTAAGGGCTTCGGTAGGATATCTATACATGTATATATATATATATATATGTACCTACATGTATAATATAATCTACATTATGTATGTATGTATGTATATATATATATGTATACATGCATCCATACAACAAACTCGAACATATGTATATATATTTATATATATTTATAGGTGTGTACACACACATGCAAAAACATATTGCACATGGGCATGATGCTTATTTCTAGTTTGACTCAAGCACGTGAACTGCTTCAAACTTCTCCAAGCTGAGCCGTCAAGGCCTCTGATCCGTCCCTAAACCCTAAACCATAAACCCTAAACCCTAAACCGTCTGAGAGCAATGGGGGCTCTTCAGCTCGCAGATGCATCCGATAACCCCCTCCAACCTACAAGTCTGCATACTTGGCTATGCTAATACTTATATGGATCCTACCACTCTACGAAGTCGTACTGTTTTGGAAATACATGCGAAGTGCATGACCGATTCCTGGATAAAGAGGTTTTGGGAGTTTCGGCCCTGGCCTGCGGTGCCGACGTTTGGCCTCCCTGTGCGCTGGCCTGCCAGGAGCTGGTGCTTCGCTCTTTCGCTCCCTCTCTCCCTCTCCGTCCACAATCGATCTATCCATCTATCTGTCTGTCTCTGTCTCCGCCCCTGTCTCCGTCTGCGCCTTTGTCTCTGTGTCCCTGTGTCTGCGTCCCTGTGTCTCTGTCTCTCTGTGTCTCTGTCTGTCTGCCTGTATGTCTGCCTGCCTGTCTGTCTGTCTGTCTTTCTGTCTGTCATCTGTCCATGTGTCTGCTTGCTGTCTATCCATGCATCTAGCTATCTGTATGCCTATAACTATCTATGTCTCTATCGGTCTATCTGTCTACCCATCACACGAACGATCTAGCTATCTATCGATCTATCCATCCATCTGTTCCGTCTGCATATCTGTGTGGAAATCTCTCTTTCTATGCATATCTACAGTTATCTACATCTTCGTGTGTGTGCGCCAGTACCTACCTACTCTCGTCAGGATTGTGGGACTATATATTTTCATGCGCATTCGTACAAATGGATGTACGTGTGTATGCATGCATCATTGCAGCACTTCTTCCTGAGGGTGCTCCACAAGCTCTACAAGTGGCTTGGGTCTCATTCAGGAACTCTTTCTTTATTAAGCAGGCTTCAGGGGTGTAGGGCTTCGGATGTGGTCGAGCTCCACGCGAATCTCAACCAGCAGAACTTTAAATACTGGTAGCCTTTGGTGAAGGAAATACCCCGGGGAACCTTGAATCGAAGGCTGCCAGAGCTCCATATCCCAGACCCGGAATCTGAAACCTGACGGCCTGAAACCTTCAACCTTCAACCCAAAGTAGCAAAGATCCCTTAACGCGTCACAGCAAGCAGCTCAAACGTGCTCAATCGACCCTTTCAGTTCTGAGGCAAATCACAACTTCGGCAAACTGCCAGGCCTGATCTTGAGCAAGTCACACAAAGAAACAAGCGAACAGCAGTTGAAACACAAGAAAGGGCGAAAGAGAACGAGTTGAAGGAAGGGCCGAAGGCCTCCGAGGCCGAATGCAGATCCGTGGCGTCGACCAACGCGAGCCCAGCATCCTCTTCTTTAGCGGGGGAGCGTTCCCTCCGGGCTTAGGCTTTCATCAGGCTGGCCCACGTCCAGGGTGTACAGCATCGGTTTATGTCGCAGAGGAATTTCAGATGATTGGGACTTCGAGAGAGGAGGCCTGCTCTGGGTGTTCGGTGGAGCTTTTGAGTTCTAGTCTGTCAGGGCTGCAGAAATCCTGTTCCGAGGGTACCCATAAACCCTAAACTTCAACGGTCCTGCGGCGACTTGCCCTTGATGGTGTCCAGGAACTTGCCCACCGGCGATTCAGCAGAAAGCCCCAAGGCCTGCGCCAAAGTCTGGGGTCTAGGTGTGGGCGTTTATGTTGCATCACAGAACTTTCATGAACGGTCCCACCGGAAGGAGGTTAAAACCCTCACGCTATGGAGTCCGGCTTCGCCTAAGGGTGCATGTGCCCATGCAGTATATACTTTCGCATGTTAAGCTTATGGAGAGTTTTCTTGGGATCATTGCCGTGCACATTCTCCACGTTAGACTTTGACTCATTGACTGTTCTTTGCAGGGGTCCTCAACCCGACAACTAAAGTCTACTCTAAACCTATAGAGCTCAATGCCTAAACTCGCAACTGCCTTCTCAGGTATGATAGAGCATGCAACCTCAGTCCTAGAAGCCTCCCAAGACCCCCGCCCCTGCATCCTCACCCCTTGACTCCCATAAACTATCGGCACACTGCTGCCTGGCTCGTCGTTTTGTGGATAGGACAGGATGGGCGGATCAGCATGAGGAATATGCACTGCAGTTAGAGCTAGCAAAGGGTCGAAACATGGGAGTGAGCCTCAGTCTTTTGGAGGTTTTGTGCACGCTACGTCTTTGCTGTCAGGATTCGCTGCAACGCCTGGATCCGAAGTCTCTGAAATAGCTCATGCGCTGAGTCTTTGAAGGGAGCGCCTAAACAATGTGTCCCGCAAGGACTCGCCCCTCTTATGTGGCCTCTGCATTGTTTGCCATGCTGTGAAGGCAAGCAATCGTCCCGCAGGCATTTCCGACATACCTGATGACATCAAGCTTCTTCCATCTCTCTCTTGCTCACTGCTTGGCCCCTGTCTCTGGCTGTCTGCTTCTGAAGCCGCCACATCCCGGATTCGTGTGCATGTTCTGCATAAATAGTATATATATATATACATATAT